CATGCACAGTGCAGAGAGCACACGCTGGTGTGCTCAGAAACATGGCCGCAGAGAGGTTACGCAATGTGACATGACAAGGGCTGCCAGATTTTTTTGTTTGATTTTAAATTAACTTTTGGTCATCACGTGTTCAGAAACCTTTTACTGTTGCAATTCTTTTTTTATGACCTCTACATTCAGTTACTTGACCTCATGTGTTATGCATGTTCTTGTAGCCACACCCTGCTCTCTGACTTACAGAGCTCAGGGCTAAAGCTACACCATTGTCTTGATAGCCTGTCAAGAGACCCTCCCGGAAGATGAGAATATACAGAGCAAGGGTGGGCATCTGGGAAGTATGATAAAAAGGACACTGAGCGAGACTGTCCTCAATCAAAACAGTGCCTCTCAACAAACTGAATGCCGGAACAAGAGGCAGCTCCCTGATCTTAATTCAGATAATACATCAGCAGCAAGTTAGAATGATGCCACTCTTCACTATTGTATCTTTAGAACATAGTTATTTTTCTTTAAAACATTTATATTAATTACTGGGTTATTTTATTTTCCAACAAATTAAACATATTGCAAAAAAACAAATTTTCTTTGGAGTTCCTCAATATTCTAAAGATTACATACAGGTCCTGAGTACAAGAGGTTTGAAATTTCTATTTTTATTATTTTTATTTTATACAGGACTACATTTTACATGAATACCCATGCATTCACTCCCACAGGACCTTCTAACTCATCTGTTAGAAGCTTCTGCCCCTAGGCATGCACTCTGGAGCTGAAATCGTTTGTTTTACATCTCAACTTTTGCTTGCTGTCTTTTGGCCATGAACAACTCTCTTATCTCTCTTTGCGTTATGTTTCTCACGAGTAGAATGCTCATCACAACATCTGCCAGGACAATAAGTACTCTGTAGGTGTTAGTCATTATGGTGTGTCATTATTGTCGGCATCACTCAGGTTTGCCCAGAAACACAGATAGGTGGAGTCAGTGGAACTGGATTGTTTTGGTTTTTTTCTTTTGTTGTTGTTGTTTTCACTTCAAGGCCAGTTATACCCACCTTCACTCACCTGCTGTGTTAGCACTGGTAGTCTGGGGAAGATGGAAAAATAACGTGATATGTCCCATTGCTCAAGCGTGCATTGTCGGAGACACTGGCTCAGCCACCAAACAAAGTGCTACAGTGCAGGGAAAGGTGTAGAAGCCACGTGCCATTGCCTGGAATTCAAATTGATGATTGGTCTATCTATGAAGGCTCTGTGTCTATCCTATGAAAACATACGCTGCCCCAGGCAGAGGACATCCCGAGGACGCAAATAATAGATAAGACAATCAAATCTCTGAGAGGGTTATTCTATTCTGTGACAACTCAGTCCTCGTGGCTGTTAGTGGCAGAACTAGCCCTTGATCCTATGACCTCAGTAACTTCTCCAGCCACTTGCAAATAAAGAGGCTGTCACCTCAAGCTTGGCATGCACAGCCTGGAGTTGGTCCCTTAGCATGACACATGAAGCCACAGAAAATTCGAGAAAGAAAATAGTCCCCAGGCTTGTTAAGAAAGACAGAGGGAGGGCTGGTGAGATGTCTCAATGATAAAAGCACCCAAGCTGAGACAGGCGCTACCTTCACCACAAACACACACACACACACACACACACACACACACACACACACACTAAAAGTAAGAAAGGTAAAGGAGTGGGACATGCTTTATAATTTTATGCCCAAAAGAATGTCTTTGCGAGCTTAGTTGAAATGCCATCCTGACACTTGTGCTCTTGGCTGAACTGAGCTGCAGAGTACTTGCCAGCTTTGGGCCTCAGGTGAGCAGCTACATAATCACAGACAGATCTGTGTCTCTATATTATCCTTTGAGCAAGGCTCTGATTGGTGAGACAGAGATGCATTCACGTCCTTTCAATTTCTCCGGAGAAACACTGACCACAAGATATCCTGTGGCCCCTCTAGTACTTTCAGAGAGAGAGGTGATCTGTTATAGATCTATCTGACCAAATAGGATGCAGAACAGTCAGACAAAGGCTCGGCGCCCAGGAAAACTAAAACACCAGACTCAGCCTGAACCCTTTCCCAGACACTTCTACATGGAGCTGAGGAAGGGCTTGGCCCTCCAAGAGTGAATGTGTGTGTCCAGCTTCAGTGGGCTTTGCTGTCCAGGCAGGTCACGGGGTAGACAGGCTGAGTGGGAACTACAGGGTTAGGACTTTTACAACAAATTCCTGGCATGCAGGCTCTACTACAGTCTGTGACTGCCTGCTATTGGATTTCATGTAAGGCTGGATGAGCTTGAGGCTTGAAGGCCATGGCTGCTGGTACATTGGGAAGACAACTATGTGAACAAGATGCTAGTCGGCTAACCTCGGGTTCATAGTTCCCTCTTCTTCAATAGGGGACTATGATTAATATGCCTTTCCTACTTACCCAGACGTTACAGGACTAGGGGAGGTAGAGGAAGGAAAGATCTGGGTAACCCGAGAAGCCTCTCACACAAGTCACTATCGTAAAACCCAGAACAACGTTATTAATTGCTGAATTAACAGCATTATTAATTCGATTCTTGGGTTTCCGGAAGCCCTGACTTCACTACTGCACATGTGTCACTCAATTTAACTTTAATCTTCCTCTAACAGCTTTGCCAGGTGGGACCCTATTTACTGTTCAGTGTTTCGGTTAGCTATACCAAGGTATGAAGAGCTTAAGGAGCTTGCCCTAGGTTATACAGATAAGCATGGGAGCGAGTGAACGCCTGAGTATTCAAACCCAGCCAATCAAATCCCAGAACCTCATAGAGTGGTGCTTGCTAGGCTCACCTGTGCATTGTACGGTTGCGTTTCCAAGTTCCTGTCTGTAAAGCGTGGATCGTAATCTACTGAGGATCTTAATCCGTGGCCCTCCATGGAGCTGTCAATTAGTCCTTCCTGCCTTCTGGGCATCTCTCAAACATCTTAGGAACACATGTGCCCATACCCAGGCACACCCAAGGAGAGTGGATTAATAGCTACATAGTCCAGAGACAGCTTACAGAAACATGCCTCAAGATAGAGATCAGAATATGCATGTAAAGAGATCAAGGATCTCACACAGTCGTTGACGGAGTCCCATCCTGCTGGAGAGAGTTCTACCAGCTTGAGATGAAAAGCATGAACAGAGCAACAGCCAATGGTGACCTTTGTCCTACTTCCCATGTGAAAGAAGTCATGCATGTAGGCAACGTGGTCCTTTGAGGCTGCAGACACTTCAACAGGACACCCTCCAATCTTCCTGCACAGACTTTCTAAAAAAAAAAATAAAAATAATAATAATAATCATTTATTTTTACGAGTTCCTTTTATAAGCTTTTGGGTAATTAAATTATCCAGTTAAATATCTCAAGAAACATTATTTCCCAATAAAATTCCGTTACATTCAACAAATTTACTGTGTTCTGTGGTGTCCAGCATAGCAGTAGCTACTGACCACATGCAATAATTTAAATTTCCAAATTCAGCTAGAGCCAGGCATCAAGACATAACCGAGATATATGGAGAGGTGTTTGGAATCTCGGGTGAGCGTCTAAGGTGTCTTTCCACTCCCTTCTTCTTTACCCCAGACTTGAGGGTTTCTGGTAGGTAATCATATTACTCTGACGAAGACGGTAATGACTGTTATGTTCAGAGCACAGAATTCTACAAGGGCTAGGGAAGGACAGAGAGCAGAGAGAACATCTCTCAGGGAATAACCTGCCCCAGGATGGGTACTCACGGAAAGTGAAGCCAAGGGAATTTTCATACAGACGGATAGCAGTCTTCAAATACTGAACTCAAACCTTAAAAAATAATGTATTTTCTGTAACTGGATTTCACAACGTTTGCTGTTTTCTAAATACTATTGAAGAGCAAGTTTAAAGAAAACTTACTTCATTAGAAATTTGAATGTTACGAATCTTAAAAGAAGCCATATGCAAATGTAATTGCATTATAATTCCACTTGTACAAAAGTCTGGCATCAGCAAGATTGCTTCTACGATGATAGAAATCAGAACAGCAGTTGCCCGGGGGAGGGGTGGGATGCAGGGTTTGGGAGCTGGGACCAACTACAAAGGATTCGGGAGCAGTTTCTGAGGTGTTGGACAGGACCCTGGTTTACACAGGTGCACACATTTGTCAGTACTTGCGGGACCGTTTCGGTTCGGTGTGTTACACAGAAAGTACATTTCATTTCAGCTAAAATTACACGCTGAATTGATAGGTGACAGACAGATTTGATAAGTAGGTAGCAGGTGAGCGAAGATGGATGGATGGATGGATGGATGGATGGATGGATGGACGGACGGAAGGATGACACAACATGACTTGCCCTGGCTCACATGAGTGATATTATGAAAGTATGCGTTACGGCTTTGTCTGGCAGTGAGCTGGTCCCCATGAACTTTATGCCACTAAAAGGAAAGTCTTGGGGGTATACTTCTTAATCTCGTGTGATGTGGAAATAATTGTGTTGTTCTTGCTTTTTCCAGTGTTTGATCCTTTCTTTCTTCTCCAAGGTGAACAAACAGGAAGGTTGTTTGTCAGAGGTTGTGAATGATGTCATTTGGAGGCAGGAAGATTGTAACTAAACTGATTTTCTTTTTCGCTCCTTTGTCTTCATTTTCTCCTCATTTAGTTTCAACAGGGAACATGTATTACTTATATAATCTTTTATAAGCTGAAATTAAAAATGGAATCCTTCATTGGCTGAGAGAGTATGGCTATCCCTGAGTGCCATGCACTCATGGGAACGCGTGGGTCTTAGATTCTGTTCAGTCACGCTCTTCTGTCCCAGCATCAGGCTCTGTGGGGCACAGTTGTAGCCATGGGGGTCTCAGTAAATGCTGCCACTTCATTCCTTGTCTATTTCCATGTACTGGTCCGTCTCGCCATGACCCTAGGGACACCCCGGGATACCATGGGTTTGTGCAGAGGTGTTCTTCAGCTGGGTGACACTCTCACTGCCTCTCTTCTCTTGTCCACAGATTCTTACTTAACCCTTGATGAACCAATGAATAACATCACCACATCCCTGGGGCAGACTGCTGAATTGCACTGCAAAGTGTCTGGGAATCCACCTCCCACTATCCGCTGGTTCAAGAACGATGCCCCTGTGGTCCAGGAACCTCGTAGAATCTCCTTCCGGGCAACCAACTATGGCTCTCGGCTACGGATTAGAAACCTGGACACCACAGACACTGGTTACTTCCAGTGCGTGGCAACCAATGGCAAGAAAGTGGTTTCTACCACTGGAGTCCTGTTTGTCAAGTTTGGTAAGCAGCCTTCAACTGGTCTTTGGCCCTAGGCCATCAGTTCACTGTATCAGGGTAACCAGAGTTCATAAGAGCACTTACTGAGACCCACAGCTGGCACCATTGTTTTTAATTTACAAATAAGCAGCCCACAGCCCAGGAGGGAGCTACCAAGGTCGGAGGGACCCAGTTCCAAAGCAGCAGAGGAGAAATAGAGGAGGCCACTTCTCTCTAACATCACTTCCCCTCCTCCAAACCCTTGTGCCATCTCTCTCTCTCTCTCTCTCTCTCTCTCTCTCTCTCTCTCAGCACAGATGCTCCTCCCCCAGAGGGGTTGGGTATGTCTGTGCCTTCCCATAGGCAATTAACAGGGCAGAGAGTACTCTGCTAATGGTCCCTTGCATTTATCTGAGCACTTTTTTAGACCCTGTGCTATGGGAGGCACGTTCTCTCTGGCTTACTTTGATTCATAGAGGTGGGTGGGGGAAACTAAGGGCAAAACAGCGAATCCAAAGAAATCCAATAAGGGTGGGAACTTCCGTTATCATTGGGGGGGATCCCCTTGTTCTCCCTCCAGTAACCCAGACTGCTTCTTTTGTTGTTCTCTCGTTTCTTTAGGGCCTCCACCTACTGCAAGCCCAGGATCCTCGTGAGTACTCCACATCTCCATGCTCTGTCATTTCTAAGCATTTCTCCGTAGGTTTCTGAGCAGAGGCAATGTTGTCCTGTGTTTGGGCCAGAACGCTGTGTTTCCAGATGCCTCTGCCTCTGCTTTCTCTCTGATGTGAAGCCCCACAGGAGATGGGCCCTGGCAGTAATCTCCAGCCTGGCAATCATGAATCTGACTGATCAAAGCAGACCTCGTCCTACATTTACTAATTTTAAATGAATCTAACAGTTAGTGGCAACAGTGGATTTGGTCGAATCAAACAAAAAAAAATGATAGAACGTTGGCTTAGGGACTTTTTCCTCCCACTAACAGGATCTGTTTTACATTCTGCAAGCATATCTGATGCTTTGAATTATTGCACAGGACAACATTAGTTGATCACTTTATTTTTTATTCCTTTCAAAGAACTCAACAGCTGAAGTTCTAATTCACAAAGAGGAGGGAGAACCCATCTTGGATTGAGAGTCCCCTGGAAGTCAGATTCCTTCCAAGTCCCTTGATAATGCAGTCTAAGGATTCCATTTCTTTAAATGATGCTATTGTTGATGCGTTTATTATTCTGGCTGAGGGATTCTCATCTTTCACTCTAGAAACATCTACTTGAAGGGCCTTTTTTTTTCTCTTTATGTGTATTTTTATTTGGAGAGAAAGACCCATTTATTCAAACTCTTGCTTTGCAAGGAAACCTCCACCCCCATGTCTGTAGACTTCTGAGGTAGAATTCATCAGGTCTGCTATGAGAGCCTCAGCATGCCTGGCCTGGACCACACCAGGGCGAAAAGTAACAGCCACTTAGCCTGCTCTAATCCCCTCTGTGCCACTTAATTACAGAGTGGGGTATTTTAGTGCATCGGTGTGTACCTGGAGGCCCAGTGGCCCACAATCCCATTAATAAAATAGGTACTGGGTAAAAATAAACATTGGCCTTCAGCCACACTGCTCTACTATTTCATCAGCCAGTTAAAGGCAACTTTGAAAGAGTCCTTAAAATTGCCAAGTGCTCACTGCATTCTGCTCACTGAGATCCAAAATATGGCTTGATCTCAGAACAGGTTGGGGAGCAACCTTGCATCTCTTGAAGCTAACTTCTCTTTTCTATTTTCCTTCTGTTTTAATTTTTTTTTAAGTTGTCACGCCAATTCCATTGTATATGGAATTCTTTTGAAGTCTTATTTAAACAAAGATTAAAACTTTTGCTACATGCTGTAAAACGGATTCCCACATGGGTCCCTTATTTGTTCATATTAATCTGTGCTTCTAATGTGGCTGATAATCTGGTCACAGGCTGGTTTCTGTGATTTACTAACTTCCCTTCTCTGTTTAGCCCAGGGCTATTGACTTTTTGTCTGCTGCTTCTGCATGAGAAAGTTACTTCTTGGTAATCCCAGTGGTTTTTAAGTACTGACCTGTCCTCCATTCTGCATGGGTTGGCTTTTTCCCAGTGGCCATCTTTCTGGTTGAACCCTAGTGTCTCAAAGATAACCTAGCAGCTTCTTGAACTGATATACTGAAGTTCATTAAAGACATCTAACAACAGCTAAAGGGATCTGTTAACCTCGGACATTTGTGTTTCATGTTTGCCGTCTGAGCGCCTCCGGAGTTTAATCAGCCATAGCACACCACGTATAGCTGCCATGTTTCCTTAGGTCAGCCATGTTGACCTACCTAAAGGTCTTCAGCCCAGCGGGGAAACGTCTCAATGCCTTATCCAGCTCAATCTCTGTCATTTCGGCATCCTAGCTGGCATTTTGATACTTTGTCTTTTTTTGGTTAGTGTGTGCAAGTACATGTACAGATGCCAGAGGAATATGTCTTCTCCCATCAGTCTCCACTCCATTCCACTGAGACATGGTCTCTCACGGAGCCTAGAGTTAGGCTGGTGACCAGCAAGTCCCAATGATTCTCCTGTCTCTTTTATCCCAGCCCTCGGTACTGTGGTTACAGGCACCCACAATCATACCTCACGTTTTATGTGGCTTCTAGAGACTTGAACTCAGGTCCTCATGCTCATAGAGCAAGTTGAAAAGAGAGACAGTGCCAGTACTCTATCTCTTTCCCTCAAAAACCCATGGTGTTGCCTCTATTTTCAACTACCAGCACTTACTCTGTCTTTAAGAGTTCCTAGTACGAACTCCCAGATAGGGTGGTAGTTCCCCTCCGTGCCCTCAGAGTGCCTGGTGAACAGGCAAATCCCAAAGCAGTCAGAAATAAACGAAATGAGAGCCGTGTGGACCTTGCAGCATTCTGGATAACATGCATGGCCTTCTTTGAAATTCTGCTTTTTCCCAAAATAGAAGTGGCGTGTAGTTTACTAGTTTACTTGTAAGTAGCACGGTCAGAGTAGCTGAAGATAAGAAGAGTGAGAGGCAGGAGGCAGCAGGCAGGACCCAGGGAGAGCCAGGCCCTGAACCTGCAGCCCAGGAGGCTGTCTAAGGATTTAAAAGGTATAAATCAAGACAGCAGAACTGCCAAAGCAATAATGCTCCATCTACCCACACTGACAAAAATGCCTTCATACCACCCCCCCCCAATGTGTCTAAGACCTGTTTTCTATAATTGGAAGCTCAGACTATCAACATTTACTATTTCAATCATTATTTTGTGTGGCTGAGTATTCTGCTCATGGGCTAGACACTTGTATAATTTTACATGTTAGGTCTATAAAATTATTTTTCCTCCAAGGTTCTAAATGTACTTATATCACACAGGGTTTAACTCTGAGGACAAACTAAGAATCTTGAGTGACATGTTCAAACGTAGACTTGGGCTCATGCCTGATTGACACCATTATGGAACATGCTACTGATCATCATCATCAAGCGCGTCAGTCTTACAAGCACGTGCGCATCACCTCAGCTCAGCATGTACAAATCGAAGCGTGCGGCTGTGTGCCACTCTTCAGTAGAGATGTGTCTGGGCAAAAGTGTCATTGTACATGTAAGGGTGTATCTACAGAAATCGAGACAGTGTAAGTCAGTCACTTGGTATGGCTTCTGATGGAATGAAGATACATGGAGAATACAAATTGCAAGAGGCTGCTGCCAGCTTCATACAGCGTATTTGCAATAAACGTTTTAGGTTTACACTCTAAGTAAACCTCCATTTAAACAGTATCTAAGTTATGATGAATGGTATATGTCATCTATAACCCAAGGGATGTAAACTGTGTGGCTAAGGCATGAGAACAGTATCACACAGCCATGGAAGCTAGAATTCCAATATCAAGGCATCTGTAGGGTTGGCTCATCCTGAGCATTGCAAGGAAGGATTTTTGTGTCCTCCTGGGCCTTTCCATTACTTGATGACATTCACTGGCTCATGGATGCATTCCTTCAGCGTGAGCTGGATGTTCTCATAAATTCTCCCTGCAAAGTTCTCCAAATAGACACCCCCCCTCCCCCGCTTTTGTGAAGGCTGCAGTAGCCCTGTGCTAGGACCCACAGTGTTGTTTTGACCTGACCCAGTTTTCACCTAAGGGGGTTGCATTCTGTGGTTCGAGGGAACAGAGCATCCTTTTTCTAATTTGTGGAGAGGACACAGTTCAACAGTCAACTCCTAATATTGCCAAAGCTTGCTCAGCCCTGTGAAACACTGGCAAATATTTCTCTAAAATATGAGAAAATTCCCAAGTAATTATTGAAATATAATGAAAAACCAAGACTAGAGGTGCTTGGTAATGTTCAAAATACTGTTTGGTGTGTGAAAAATATCACAGCCAAGCTGCGAGAAAGCATGTGGCTTGGTGGCTGATGTCTTTTCTCTCTTACTGAAATGCTTTTGTCACTGCTGTCCTTGTCTTGTGGAAAGCAGCACCTCTTGTCCTGACAGAAGTGTAACACCCACAACCTTCACACTGCCCATCGATGCCAACTTGGGTAGAGACACGTTCCCCGGGGCCAGAACCATGCTAATCTCATGAGCAACATTTAAGTTTCTGTGACCAGCCTGAAGTCATGAGTCTGAATGCACGGAGGGGTCCATGTGGACTCTTTACTTTTATTGAATCCGTTTCTTGTTTATTTGTTTAATGTGGGCCCAGGGTAGGTTCCTACTTTCCCTTCCTTCTTTCTAAGTAGCTGTTTGTTGAGCGTGTGCTGCAGTCCTCAGGTGGGAAGCCTCCTTTCTGCCCTTACAGGCTCTAAAACTAACTGGGTCAAGCCCATCCAAATGCCAAGGGTGACCTCCATACTGAATCAGTAAGTACTGTCAGAGCAACAGCTAGCCTTGGGTTCAACTGAGTAGTTAGAAACTATGCCTTGCCGATTTGACTAAAACCAAACCAACCAAACAAAAACAACATCAAAAACAACTGGCCAATCACATCTTCACTGTTGTGCTTTTCTCAACACTTTTCCTGTGTTCGGTGTCCCTCACATTTCCGGGCGTATCTTAAATTTGTTCTTAGTAGTAGTGACAAAAATCATTTGGGATATTGAAAATTACACTGAATCTATCAATCTTTTAATTGATTTAGGGAGGATTTCCATTTAAACAGTATGAAATCTTCTGCGAACATGATGCTATCATTCCATTTTCTTAATTTCTCTACATAGTTTTGTAGATTTCATTGTACAAGCCCAGCTCACTTTTTAGGGGAAAAAATATATATATATTTCTAAGTAGTTATTTTTATATTAATAGTAAGGCATTGAGATCATTTTCATATTATTCACTTTATTCTATAAAGCTACAATTCATGTCAATAAACTGATTCTACATCCTACAGACTTTGTGAGATATAAACCCATCCTTGTTCTAGCTCTAGTAAGTGTGTCTGTATATGTGCCTTGTGTCTGTTTCTGTGTCTATGTGTATGCATACACATAGCTCCTCTCATGTAAACACTTTGCATCCTTTTGTCAGAGGGTTCAAAGGCCAATGGACATCTCTCTGCTTAGGTACTCCCTTGAGCTTTGTGGTTCTACTCTTGTTTCATCCATCTGGGAATGCTACCATAGGCAGATATGCTCTTTTTTTCT